CAGGGTCATCTTACCTTCCTGGACTCAGATACATAACAGGGTCATCTTACCTTCCTGGACTCAGATACATATCAGGGTCAGCTTACCTTCCTGGCTTTGGTTAAATATGTTCTCGCCGAGTCTTTGAAGGTCTCTGTTTCCTCAGGCTTTTCGGACTGGAGATAGGAGGTCCACCCCAGCAGATACCAAACCTAAAGAATAAATAAATAAACAAACAGTATTAAATGTGTGCTGTCAAGAGAGGAAAATGTGACAATAGGATGTAATATGAGTTGCTAATTTCCATATCTGTATGAATAAAATTTAAACCACAGCCTTTAAAGTCCTTCAGTCTACTGAAAGGCTGTAAAAACCAATCAATCATTCAGAGAGAGACACGGCGTGGAGCTCTGCAGGTGCACTTACAGCTGATGCTTCAGAGAAACGGGACGCAAACAAACACAACGAACGTGCTGCACTCCTACGTTTAAAGGCAATCATGAAAGAAGCCAGATGAAAAGGGGCTGCGATCAGTAACACGACCGCGTGGGGCAGGGGAAGCATGGTGGGGTTCAGGCAAGCTTGCCGTCGAGGCCGCGCCGCCCTGCCCCGTCGAACAGCCCAGTTCTCTCTCTTATATTGCTACTATCAAAAACAAATAAGAGCTACCCTTCAATTTTAACCAAACCGTTAAAGTGTTACTCAGTGGTTCACTGAGAAAACAAAGACCAGAAATATATTACCTCTCTGGAGCTGGGGGCCATAATTCAATCAGCTAATCGCAGAAAGAAATGCTGGTTGTTTCACGCTGGTTAATTAAATTTCGCAAACAAGTCGTCACCGGTTATCTTCCAAGGGAATCAGAAGAACACAATTTGTCCGTTATAAGGTTCCTGATGCCTTTGTGTCCCGTAACCACTTTGATAGTAGATTAGCATTCCTGATCATTGGCCGCAGTGCTGTCTGCTGTGCTAATGTTACACCTTTGATGTTGCTCAAGGCTAAACATGCGTCCGGCCGCTCGGTGCTGCCTCTATACAGCCCACTTTCAACACCAAATTAACGCCTGATAGGATGTTCCTGATCAAAGGCAAACAGGGCCTGACAACACAAAGAAGAAGATCAATCTCAACCTTGAAGCTCTACTTTGAAAGGAAACTTGTACCCCCACCCCCACCCCCACCCACCTTATTGCAACCCAAACACAGTCACAGTTAAAGGTGTCATTTTGCATTGGGGGGGAAGGACTCAGAGTGTACGCTGCAGAGCAGCATGCAAACGTACCCACAATGCTTTGTGGTTTATTAACATCGTCCTTGATCCTAATTACTGGGCATTTACGCAGCCCTCTCTTCTTCATCCACAATCTCCATTTCATGTTGTTCAGCTGAGGTTTACGTTTTGTTGTTCTGAACAGCTGATTGGCTCTGGTAATGAGGACCAAACTGTCTACCTGTCCATACGGAGATTACCACGTACCAACCATGTGGGTTACAGGCGGTGCTGCCACATGACCAGTAGAGGGCGTGCCTGAGTGAAACAAGCTTCTATGAAACATATAACATTAAAATATATATAGTGTTTATCTGAAAAAAGCGAACAAATGAGCAAAACATCACTTACAGAAACAAGCAATTATCTGTGGTACAGCCAAATATTAGTGAAGCAATTTTTTTAAACATGCTTTTACTAGAAAGTATCAATCGATATTTTTCTAAACAATAGAAAATATGGTGATTAATCCATAGCGCTGCCAGTAAAAGACAGCATTTCTATAAATGTGGCCTTTTCAAAATACTCTGGGTGAGTACATTACCCCCGCAGGCAGTGTGCTCAGAGGTACTGGCGTGCCAATGAAAAGGCACCAGCCTGGCGAGTACTCGAACTACGCACTCGAACAACGTCAGTCTCCGTTTATTTAGTCATGTTAATGGCTCATGTTTTGGGGCCCGCCGGTCGATTAGGAAATGCAGCGGCTAGAAGGATGGGTCAACAGGAATAAAACTCTTTTTCCAGAAAGGCCATTTCAATAAAAAAAGCTCAATTATTATACATTATTACAGGACACATTTAGTGGACCCAGGTAGAAGTGTACTTCACAACCTGACCACTAGGGACCCAAGATTGAAAGACCCATAGCCAGAACTGAAATGTTGTGAAGCTCAATAATCCCACCAAACTCTCCCATGAACCCTCCCCCCACCCCCATGGGTCCTTGTGTGGCCTCCCCCTGTTGGTGCACACACAGTAGTCACTAAGGTGGTCTCTTAAGAATCAGCTTGTGAAATTTAACTTAAAAGTTTTTTTCAATATAATATGAAATTGAGACCTCCTTTATTTCTGTATATGTTTTGTAAATTTGCAGAGCAGTAAAGTACATGTTTGCAGGCCCTTTCCAGTGGGGTGCTGTATGTAAATCTGCATTAGCCTTTCAGCCAGGTTTGGGGAATTCATTGCAGGCATTTAGAGGCAGGCATTTAGAGGCACGCATTTAGAGTCACTCTTCAGGCTTCAAAGTGGAAAAGGTCTGCATTCTGGAACAGGCGAAATATGACTCTTTCTCCTCAGAAGACTGCATTTCGCAGTTTTGCCACAAATGTAATTGTTAAATTAAAAAATAATTACAAATTTGTGGCCGATTAAACTGCAAAGAGCTCATTCCGGCAGAACAGAGAGCACAAGCATTCTTTAACGGAAAGGTTTAACAAGATGATGTAATCATTAATAACTGCACTTCACAGCCAATAAACACTCACTTCTCCAGAGCAGCTCCCACGAAGAGAAAGTGCGGCACATAAACGAAGTTTTAATGATCCTTAACATCTAGTTAAAAATGTCACTGACACTAATCTTGTCTTGCAGAAAAGACCCGGAACAAACATTACAAAAAGTTGAAAATCTAACTTGCACAGTTGTACAGAATGAATGCAACTGAATGCAGAAATAACAAAGCAAATGTAGGTGCTCCTGTGAGCGCAGTGCGGAGTGAAACTCAGCAGGTGGGTTAAGAGCATCAAAACTCAAACTGGGAAACAGCCATTAGCTGAGTTAATGTGGTTAGGATCAACATTATCATACATCACAATGTCAAGGTAGTAAGTGAAAGCAGAGCGCAGGCTGTCACCACGACAGCCTGAATGAGGCGCAGTCAGTCACGTTCGCCTTGGTGCAGGGACAGAACACCAGAAAACAGCTTCTTCATGAAGCACTGACAGCCCAGCCTCCAGTCAGCAATTACCCATCAATTAACTGTCAATCGGACACAAAAGGCCCCCAGTCCTCTCCACGCCATATTCACTTTAAAGGGTTTTTAATGTCAGCAGGAGTGATATTTTAAAGTGTGTTAGACCAAAACATTTGTGACTGCAGACACCGTCACTGGAAAAAGTGCAGTTACACCTACATTCTCCATAATTACTGAGTTGGAGTTACTCAGGGAAACTGAGGAGAAGCTCTGATGGATGTGCAAGCCAACATCACCTGGGAGATGGCGGGAGGGGGGTCTCTCCACATCTCAGTTTGTACGTTTTCATCAAACGTTTACATCTACCCAAACTGATCAGTCGCACAGCAGTTCACAGAAAAGCTTCATCTGCACGGCGTCAT